AAAAATGAGAGGCAGGCCATCGCCAATTTGCGTCAGCGTGATGATATTATCATCAAACCAGCTGATAAAGGCTCTGCCACTGTCGTAATGGACATTAAATTCTATGAAGAGGAGTCCTTAAGACAACTAAACAATCCTCTTCACTATCGGAAGCTCACAGAGGACCCCACTCCGGAAATTTCTAAGGAAGTGGAAAAATCAGTAATTAAGATGGTTAAAAAAGGTTCCATCGATCCCAAAATTGGACCCCATCTCATCCAGGTCGATCCGGCACCAGGACGTTTCTGTCCTACCCAAAATCCACAAAGCAGGCCATCCTGGCAGACCCATCATTTCGGGCAACGGTACTGCTACAGAAAAAATCTCTGAATATGTGGATGATTTATTGAGACCATATGTTGTTGCTCTCCCCTCGTACATTCAGGACTCCACGGATTTTATCCGCAAAATTAACAAAATTTGAAATTTACCTAATAATACTGTTCTGGCTACACTTGATATTTCGTCATTATATACTAATATCCCTCATGAAGAAGGTGTTAATGCGTGTATTTCAAATTACAAACCAATTCGGGGCAAAACCCCATCTAAATCACATCTACGCGAACATATCATGCTGATTCTGACCAATAATAACTTTGTTTTCGGCGACGGTCATTACCTTCAAATTCATGGCACAGCGACGGGCACTAAAATGGCTCCATCTTTTGCTAACTTATTTATGGGACAATTTGAGCCCAATTTCCTGTCCTTACAGCCCAAGAAACCAGATGTTTGGTTTCGTTACATTGATGATATCTTCATGATCTGGACCCATGGTGAAGATAGTTTGGATACGTTCTTTGAACATTAATTCGGCTCATCCCACAATCAAATTCACTGCCAACAAATCCACAAGCAGTGTAGATTTTCTGGACATCACCGTGACCAGGGAAAATGGTGCACTCAAAAACTGATCTCTTCCGTAAACCCACGGATAAGCATATGTACCTGCTCCCAAGCAGCTGTCATCCCCCGCACTGTACAAATAACATTCCGTACAGCTAAGCATTGCGCATGAGACGCATTTGTTCTTCGGATTTAGAATCGCACAGAAGAGCTATCCGGACATCTCCGGAATAGAAATTATCATCGAGGACCCATCGAAAATGCTGTAAAAAAAGCAAAGGACATACCTCGTGCTCAAACACGGACGTACAAACCACGTCAGCGATCGACCAGAGTGCCACTGGTCACTACCTATCACCCTAGGTTACCACCACTAAGGGCTATAATTCAGAAACATATGCCTATTCTACAGACCACAGAACGTCTTAGGTCTGTTTTTCCGGATACACCGTTCATAGCCTATCGCAGACCACCTAACCTTCGTGATATATTAGTACGATCTAAATTCAAGAGGCAAATTAACTCTTGCGACAGCCATAACATGGGTAGTCATCTTTGTGGTTCATCATGCAAAACATGCTCCTTGCTTGATTCTACACAATCATTCAAGAACAACCAAACAAACCACATATTTCGGATAAGGCAATCAATTAATTGCCTCACCAAAATGTCATTTATCTCATATATTGTAATATTTGTGGAAACAAAAAACACTCTCCGTATGAGAATGACACAACACAGATCAGCTATCAGAACATCTAAGCTTGATCAACCAGCAGCTGAACATTTCAATTTAGCTGGTCATTCAATTTCAAATTTCAGAGTGATTGCAATTGACCATAATGCCAATTGGAGCAACAAAAATCGCAAAGATAAAGAGAATCACTGGGAACTTTTACTTAAAACAACCACACCATTTGGACTCAATATTAGGAACGTTCTCCCAGTACACTAAATTAAACCTATGGCATTCCAAATTATTCTGGATAAATCATTTGGCTTATTCATTGAGGCATGCCTCTAAAGTTTAGTTTCAGCCTTCCTGTTTACTTGTTTAGGCTGTTTATTCTAATCCCACCTAGCATATTGTTTCTAATCATGCTTGCATGAAATTCTCACTTCATACTATCTGGCTTTTTCAACCCTCACTCACTCGCCACTGAGGAAGGACTATTGTTGTCCGAAAGCTCTGGTTCTATTTCTGGCTGTTTACTTACGTTTAATTAAACGGCTGAGA